TCCCATAAATTTGCATTATCGAAAAAAACGGCGCCCAACCATACGCCAGGGGATTTGCAATAAAATCACCGTTTGACAAGCATTATTTCAATTCTGTGATTGTAATCGAACTTTTAAACATTACTAAGCCGACTGTGTGAAAAATACAGCATTTATTGGCACCCGCCTTGGGACCTTAAAATTAATAAGGGCAAGTCATTAGAGAAACGATTTAGATTGAAATCAGGGGTGAAAAAGTTAAATGTAATTTTTTGAATATTCAAAATTTGGTGGGTGGCTAGGTGGCTTCATCACATAGTTTAAAAAAATGGAATAAAAACTTCTAAGGTCTGCAATTTTTTGGATTAACTTGTTAATATTTTTGGTATAACAGATTTGATGAGTGGCCTGATGGCTTTACCAGACTAGGTATGTGATATTAATTCCACTGCATATACGTCACGTGGATTATATTTGACGTATACACTATGGAATTGACATTTAAGATCGAGGGGATTTCGTAAATCTATATAAAATTGGAAATGTTGGAGATACTTTGAGTTGTAAGATTGATGTATGGCCTGATGGCTTTATCAGAATAAAATTACATTTATTATATTCATTAATTTTTTTATTTTCTAAAAAAAATTCAATACGTAATGAATGTCTGACACTATATTTTTTATGTTCCCAGTAATTCAAAAAGGATTGATAAAAAATCTCTTGAAGTAATCTATGTAAACAGTATATTAACTTCCAAAATTTGCTTGTATTTTTTCTATTTTGTTTATTCGTTTTGACTTTTTAAGTTTGTCGAGTGCCTAGACGTCCTATATTTATTATTTTCATAATCATTCACAAGGAATTGATGACAAATGTCTTATGGTGAGCTAGACACCTTTTAAGATGTCTTGTATTTATTGTGTTCATAACCATTCACAATGAATTGATAACAAATTGTCTTAAAGTGATATAGCAACACATAAACTTCTTCACAAGTATGAAACTTTATATATATTGAATAATGCAATTGGATGAGTGGTCAGATGGCTATAGAAGACTGAGTTTGTTGCAATAGAATATTAATTTGGCCCTTGGCAATACAAAAAAGGAAATTGAATAAAAATTGTAATTTAAATTGTCAATTCCCTTAATTAAAAATGAAATAAATGCCATTCCTTTGTAAAATGCATAATTTAGGACCCAGTGTGAAAAGTCATTTAACAAAAAAACAAACTGGTCAGTTATCAACATTTCCACATGTGAAATATCCGAACCACCCTTAAATCCCCAAGGTAATAATAAGAACACCGTAACGAATCAACCTGTTATAATTTAAAAAAAAAAATATTTTTGTTGTTTTAAATGTCCATAAAAAAGAGAATAATGCCCCGTTTTCCAACAAACAGGTGCACACTGACTCAACGGATTTTATTTTGTTTTTCACTTGTTACATATTTCCCACCCCTTATATCGTTTTCAAATTTTCATTTCAATTTTACTCCTATTATGTTTTGGTTGTATTGGTCATATTGATCGTTTTTGTTATGGTCTATGAATAGTCGGGGGCCATACAACAGGTAGCCAGGTAGCCGGCTAAACAAAACAGAACAAAAAAATGTGTTCACCTATTTAGGCAAAGTTAATTAGCAATTTTATGTTAAGTCATCGGTAAGGTGCTACTAGTCGATTAGAAAAATGAAAAACAATTCTCATTTTGTTATTATTCTTTTTTTCAAAATGTATTTTCTTGGGAAATTTTTTTGAAAGTGGCAAGAGTGGGAGCGTTTCAAAATATGTGTGTGTGCAATTGCGTAAAATAAATAAAAAATGATAAAGCAACAATTTTTTAGTTAAATGAAAACATGTTTTTTTCAGGTGGCCTAACATGTGTGTAATGCTATTTTTAAAACAAGCTGGTTTGAAATTTTTTATGATTTTCGTGAAATTATGTTGAAAGTAATGTGTTTCTTTAATAAATAACAGAAAAATCCGACAAGTTTTTCTGAAATGTGAAATTGGTTACTACAGGTTTGATGGGTTGCCGGGCCATTAAAGAAAATGAAATAAGCCCACCCAGTAATAGAATTTCTCCCTTTTGACGTCATATGATAAGCTTTCATAAAGTCACCTGGGCACATGTCAAACTAGAATTTAAGATACATAACGGAAATAACAAAAGTAATAATTTTTAAGCAATAAAAATCTAAAAAATTTTTAGAAATGTAAAATTTTTGTTACATGTTTGACGAGTTGTGTTAATATTTAAGAAAATGTAATATTTTAGAAATTTATTTAGCCACCCAGTAATATTATTTGTAAACATTTGTATTTTCCGACGTCATAGGAGAAACTTCTCAAAAGACTCATGGCCACATGTCAAACTAGAATTCAAGGTTTTGGGACAGAATTGCTAGTTTTAATAGACTAATGTTCAAGTTTCATTTTTGGACAATTAAAATCGTACAAGTTTTGAAAAATGTGAAATTTTTGTTACGAGTTTGACGTGTCGCCATTCCATTGAAAAAAAAAATTATATAGCCAGCTGGTTATACAATTTATGAAAATTTTAATATCGGTTTATTTTAAAGGGAAATTTTTTTTAAGTATAATACAATATTTACATTATACCGGATTTAGTGAATCCAATGAGTTTAAATTCCATTGTCATTATATATCAAAAAAAATCTCATAGAGGATAATTATCTTTTTCATAGGAAATGAATTATAAAAAGAATGTCGTAGTTTTTTTCAACGCAATATTAAAAGGGTTCTTTTGATTATTCCTGACAATTTTCATAAAATTGTGGCACACAACATTTCATATAAAATAGTGAATTGTATTGCTCAATAAAATACATTTTGTTTTTTAGTTATAATTTCTTTGGCACCTCATATTCCCAACAGAACAGCTGACTTACTTCCATATTTAAGACATTATTGTAAATTCAAAAAGAATTGATCACAAATGCTTTAAAGGCGACTGGCGACATATTCATTTAATGAAATGTTGATTTATGAATTATTAAATATTTTAAAATGTATCTAAGCTCTTTTTTCTTAGTGACAAATATAATTTTGGAATTAGTACTTAAAAATGAAAAAAAAAAATAAAATATGAAAACTAATGTTAATTCAAAAGAGCATTGATGCTGAAGGAAAATTTCCCTCAAATGAAAATGGTATTAGTGAGATCATTTTCTAAATTCTTCAATTATTTCTCTGTTTCAGAACCAGTAAGAATCTACATATCATGAAGAATTCAATAAATTGGAAAAAGCTTTTTTAATAACATCTTCTTTGGCATCAGCTGATTTACATACTTATTTGAGACATTATTGGCAATTCAAAGAGAGATGATGGCAAATGTCGTAAAGACGTCTGGCCACATATCAAATTACCGTTGAAAAGTATGAAGTGTTTGATTATAACAAGGAAATTACTTTAAAAGGTGTCTTAGGCGTTTTTTCTTATGAAAAAATTATTTTTTAATTTTTAAAGCATGCAAGCACCTTCAATTTTAACAAAAAAATCTCCTTAATATGTTGGAAAAGTTTTGCCAGTTGCAAATAAGATCTTCTTTGGCATCAGCTGATTTACATCCATGCTTGAGACATTATTGGTAATTCAAAATGAGATGATGACAAATGTTTTAAAGGTGTCAGGCCACATATGGAATTACCTTTAGATACCATGAAATGTTTGATTATGAATTAGAAATTATTTTAAAAAGGTATATTGAAATATAATATGGAAGGATCTACAAATTTGAAGAATTTCCCATGACTAAATTTAAATTTTTTTCCAGTATCAGACGCATAATAACATATTCTTTAGCATCAGCTGATTTGATGTAAGTTGATTATAGATTTGAGACATTATTGTGTAATTCATAAAGAAATGATTACAAATGTCTTAAAGGTGTCTGGCCACATATGGAATTACCTTTAGCTACCATGAAATGTTTAATTTTAATTTGGAAATTATTTTTTAATGATATTTTTGCCTTCATTTTCCTAATAAAAGAAAACAATTTGCAATTAATTAAAAAAAGGAAATTATTTTAATATGGAAATCGAAGCCAAATTAATAGAGCATTGATACTGAAGGAAAAATTTTAGGTGAAGAAATTTGTTTTCTACTAAAACGGCATTTACATTATAACTTTTTACGGGGTTAACCTTCTCTATGAGGATTTATTAATGGAATTGACAAATTAGATCACTTCGAAGGGGGAACTGAAGCCAAAGAGACAAAGCACGTCCAGATGGATCATATCTCTTCTGTTTAAAATTGACAGTGCCTTTGTCGTATATATTCGATATGGTCAAGGCATTTTTGAATGGCAAATGTGATTTTTACTTATTTTTAGATTTGAAAATTGAAAAAAAAACTAAGACGCCATATGCCAAAATATAAACACATTTACAAAATCAACAAAAATATATATTTACGTGCAAAACCAATTATGGACTTTTTTGTTTATTTCTCTCTAATGCATTTCTCAAGTAAATTATTGTGAAATTGAAAAAAAAAACGTCTAAGAAATATTCCAATAGAACCAAATATAAATAATTCATTTACGGTTTACAGAAAATTGCACTGAATACAAAAACCAGAGATAAGAATTTAATTATTTAGCTTGGGATAAGGCACGTATTTGCTGGGCAAATGCATGAGTGTGTATGAATAAGCCAGGTTTTAACAAGAAAATACTGGTTTAAAGCTCTCTGAGAGAAATTAAACTTTTCGGCCATATTTCTTATTTTTTTACAACTCTCAAAAATTTCTAGAGAGCGCGCAAACAAAAAGAGAGGTTAAGTAAACACAATTGAATTTCTCAATAACAATTTTTTGTTACTTTGGTGTTGAAGTGGGTGACTCAACTTGTGAAGCTTGAATTATTACTGGAAAGGGGGGAAAGAGAATTTTCTCACAAGATTTCCATTATTTTTTAGATTTTCTATATGCTCCCCTGATCTTTGTTTAAGAGTTATAAATATAATTTTTTCCAAACTTACCTGTGGGTAAAATAGCATTATTTTCACGTCTCCAACTGATGGTGGGTGTGGGATAACCGCTGGCATAACATTCCATTTGCACTTCACTGCCCTCGCTGGCCACCAATGATTGCGTGGAATTATCAGAGATTACGGGAGGACGTCTTACGGACAGCATAACATTGGCACTGACTTTATGTGTGACCGACATTACAATCTGACAGGTATATTGCCCAGCATCGGTCTCTTGAATATCTTTTATCTGCAGTTTATAGGTTGATGAATTTGGATCGTAGCGCAGAGCAAATCGTGAATCTTTGATAACCAATGTTGAACCAGTCGATAAGAATACCGAATCACCAGCATTTTTGGTCCATATTACGGGATAATCGGTGGCATATTGTACAGAACAATCAAATTCTACAGTACCGCCAATATCTTTGATCTGTTCTTGTGTGATATATGAAATTGTGGGTGTTCTTTGGGCATCCACGAAAGAATTCAGGCACAGCAGGGTTACAAAGAGGCCAACTATTGTGCTGGAGATATGTGTAGAGATTCTACTTCTAAACGTGGACATTTTGTGTTTTTAGAAAATGTATTTGTTTTTTGGTTTAAATTTATTAGTTATTTTTTTTCTTAAGTTTTCTTCAACGAGATCTATCCGAAGAAGAAGCAGAAAACAACAAAAATATTGCACCACACCCTAAGACCGTTGTTAAGAGTCGTTTATTTTTCTTTTTGTTTGATTGGAAAAGAAACGCTTAATAATTTAATGCTTTGGCTTGATCTTTTCAAGTTGTTTCTTTTTTTGTTTCGTATCTTCGCGACGTCGCGTACTCTAGAGCTGCTGCTTCTTCTTAAAGAGTCAAGTAGATACTAAACGAGACTGTGCTCTTCTTGTTTTTTCCTTTTTGCCTGATGCTCAGTTAATTGACTGTGACTTGTATTATAACTGTTATACAAATGACAGCACAAAATAAAAGAGCGAGAGAGCGGGAAATTTAAGCCAAGTTTAAAAAACACACTCAAACACGTTTACACAGTACGATTCAAAACACGTATTTTCTTTTCATTCGTTCACTCTCTTCTCTTTCTCACAAAGCGCACACACACTTTCTTCCTTCCTTTCTCACGGGGCAACAACAAACGTTTTAACCGTTATTCAAAACCTCTGTACGTCTTTACTCGTTGAACGTCGTCAAGCGAATGAATTGTGTGTGGTGTTCGGGCCGCTTAGCTAAGCTCATGTTGAATGTTGTTGTTTGGTGTGTATGCGTGTGTGTGTGTGTGTACGCCACCCAAATAAATACGTTACGTTGTTGCTGGGTTTCTGCATGACTCTGCCTGTCTGTGTGTGTGAGAATTAGATGAGCTGTTGTTGTTTAATAAGTTTCATAAATATGGCGCTCAATTAATACCAACAACAACAATGAGTGTGTGTGTAAATTTCACACACGCAAGCACACACAAAATGTGTTCCCATTTATACAGGTAAGACTGTTGGTTGCCACCGCACACAGAAAAAAGAAGGGCTGGCTAACTGGCCGAGCATGCAACAAAAATTTATTATTTTAATACCAAAAAATAAAAATAAATTTTTGTTTTTAAATTTGAACAGGTATTTTGCATCAGAGTTCATAGGAATGAAACATTTTTGTTGTAACAACACATCTATACCAGTTTTATGATCTATGCAATATAAACACACGCTGTTTTGTGTGTGTTTTTCAAATATAATTGTTGTTGGATTTTACCGGTCATTAAGATATCATTTAGAGGGAACGTTGTCATGGTTTAAAGGGCTATTAATAGGATTTCCAGGGATCTTTAACACTTGTTGCAAACAACAACTCAGTTGTAGTCATAAAAATATTAACGGATTTAAGTGTTTATACCTGGAGTTCCTGTTGTTTTGCAAAAAGTTAAGCTAGCGCTTAGGTTACGGGCTTCCGTTTAACTAATCCAGTAATTCGTTACAGGATTCGTTTACGGAATGTGCAATTTAATTACACAGTTTGATTAATCCAATGGAATCGAAAATTTGGGATTTCCAAAATGCAAGAATCTATTCACATTCACACGCTCGAATATTTACATCAATGCACCAGATAACTTAAATAACTTAGCATAATTCTTATTTTTCTAAGTTTACATCTCTAATACATACAGAGGCTTACAGTTTTGCACCGATCTTCCAATTGTCTAAATTTAATATTAAAATATACCTATAATATATACCGATTTGGACCTAACTTTGCATATAGTCTGAGATATTAGAAGCAATATGAAAAATTGGGTCCAAATCGATTGGTATTGATGGCATTCCCATTACCTTTATAAAACTAGTCTATTCATACATATCTAGTATCAACTTGGATCTGTTTAACAGAATCTTAATAACATCTGTATATCCTTCATGGTGGAAGTTAGCCCGTGTTGTTTTCATTCCAAAGTCTCGTTCCGTCAATGAACCCAATTACCTAAGACCCATTGCTATGCTATCTATATGTAATGTAATAAGGAGTGATGGCGTTTTCTACACTTTAAGCAGGAACATTTACTCTTGCACTTATTCTTAGAGTGTCCAATGGACAGGCAATTAATACAATATTTGTTCATAAATGCGAAATCAATGCGCTCTTGGACGGACATGATTCGAAATTTAGGGCAAATACGAATGCTGTGATTTTTTTCACATTGCTATGCTATCTATATGTAATATAATAAGGAGTGATGGCGTTTTCTACACTTTAAGCAGGAACTTTTACTCTTGCACTTATTCTTAGAGTGTCCAATTGAGAGGCAATTATTACAATATTTGTTCTTAAATGCGAAATCAATGGACGGACATAATTCGAAATTTAGGGCAAATACGAATGCTGTGATTTTTTTCACATAAGAGACAAGTTGCATTTAATTTTTCTTGGGATGCATATGACTGCGTTTTGGTAGAGTTTTGAGATAAATTCCTCGGCGGAAGACTGTGTCGATCTTTTACAGATTTAAAATTGGAAACGCGTGAGATTTTAGAATTTGTTCCCATAAGGAATTGGTTTCTTCGGGTAGCTTGGTTGAAATTAAATATATAAGTATGGGATCCCAAGTGCTGACTTTAACGTCTAATGATTTGAGTGTGCAAAGACAATCATTTATTAAAGATCAAATGCTAGATACGTGTTCGCAAAGGATCAATGAATTGCAATATTCCTTTCGACGGGCATTGAATAGCAGTCGCTGCTTTTAAAACCGACTGAATCGATCCGAAATAACATAAATGATGGTATGATAAGTGTCTTGGTATCTCTGGATTTATCGAAAGCCTTTAATTGTTTTAATCATGGACATTTTATACATAAACTTAAATATGAGTATAATTTTTCCAAATCTCCATGTGATTTAATGTATTCTTATTTCAATGGAAGAAGACAATTCGTTATCGTCAATGGTCTTGAGTCAAATTCTCGCCCCTTATATTCTGGAGTTCTTCAAGGATCAGTCTTTGGACCATTTTTTTATCTCTTTAAAACTGGAGGCAGTTACTACAGTTAGTCCACTTTCTAATTGAATAGAAGGTATAAGACCATAAACCATATGCTCGAGATAAACGAGATTTTCTTATATTTTTCGTTAGCTCGATAATAAAACATGTGGCGAGTTAAGCGAAAGCTTAACACAGCGCCTTTTTGCACTTTTTTGAGTCCTTAGGCGTGATTAACTCTTTAAATGCGTCTTTCTTGTGAGCCGTCCGAAGACGAACTGTAGGACCATTGTTATTTATCTTATATGTAAACGATCTCTCTTCTAATATAGACTCTTCTTCTTGCTCCACATTCGCATTTTATTCGCTGATGACATATTTCAGCTTAATGTCGCAGGTCTTATATGGACTTGAGGTGTATTCGGGAACCAACTGCATTGCATGTCAATAAGCTAAAGCGAATTGTAAATACCATAATACGATTTATTTATAAACTTCGTCGTGACAGTCACGTGTCGGAATATGTTACTTGTTTTCTAGGTTGTTCCCTTCAAAGATTTATGCATTATCGTTGCTTAATTTTATTTTACAGCATCATTAAAAATAATTCCCCTCAACCTTTAAGGATGTTATTCTCTTTCACACACTCCTCCAGAAACCCCCAGATTTTGATACTTCGATACATTGGAATAATTGTTTTGCTAAATCATTTGTAGTTAGAGTTGTGCGATGTTGGAATGCACTGCCACTTGAGTTGCGGGTTTTTTCGCACAGTAATAATGCTATACGTTTAAAATTTCTAAGTCATTTTACAGATCTTAACCGGTTATTTAAGTTATTATTATTAAAATATAATCTCCTTTGTGAGTTGTCATCAAATTTTAGGAGTGTTTGTCGATGACATATTATCATTTGGCACTCATATTGATATATCATATACAGCGGAATGTGTATGGAGAGAAAGTGTATACCCCATATTAATTACTGCTTGGAAGTAGCATCTGGAACTATAGATCACAGCCTTTTGAAATTAAAGCGCATTGTAAATCGTATTTCTCGTTCCGTGTATGAGTTCTCATTTATAAAATTGTATATGTTTAGATTTAATATAGAATATACAATTCTATGTTTGAGAAATAATTTTTTAATACGTATTACTCGATTATGGAACTACTTGCCACTTGAACTGAGAGCATTTCAGCATTCAAACAATGGATTTCATTTGAAAATTTTGGACTGTATTCGAAGCCTGGGTTGACATATTATCTAATGACAATTTATGTTGATATATTCTTTGTTGTTTATCGTGGTTTATTTTATAGTTATGACTGTCGCCAGTCATAAAAAAATTTCCAATCGACCGGGCCAACGCTTACAAGTCCTGAAACGTGCAAAGTCTTCCAAAGTGCCCAACAAAATTCAACTCTTTCAGCATCGCAAATTTCAGAATGCGTGAAAGAACAGTTTCACAAGACCACCTGCCCCCTGACGCAATTCGAAAAATCCTAAAAAAATCCTAAAAAGCCCTTTATACCTTTAATTAATAGAAATGGCAATGCTTTCGCCAAGGATCACTTAAATAAGCCTCGCGAGTTTTGGGAAAAAGTTATTTTCTCAGATGAGAGCAGGTTTTGTGTGGTTTTGGAATCAAGTGGTGCAAGTTGGTATGGCGAGAACAACTTGGTAATGGAGGTGCAATGATGTGTTATTAGTAGTGGTGTGGGACAATTGGAGTTCATCGAGTCTACTATGGATAAGTATGCGTACCTTAATATTTTATTTGAAGCGTAGCGCCGAGAAACTGGGCCTGGAGAACGACTACTACTTCCAGCAGCATAATGACCCCAAGCACACTGCTGACATAGTTAAGCTTCTTTCAATTATTTGGGACCCCTACTGCAACTCCCATACATTTCTCGTGTGGGAAGAATTCAAAAATGTTTTACAAAGTTTTCTCTATAAAATCACTGCTGATTCACGACTTCTTATAAATCTGGGTGTTTATTAAGGGGATTACAAAGTTTTGAAACTCGAAGAAAGTTCCAATCTGCTTGTTTTATATTTGACATACTTGATAATAAAATTGATTATCCGGATTTAATATCGTTAGTATTCATTTTTGTTCCCAAAAAATACTCCATAAGTTCTCTATAGGATATAAATCCGGCGACTGAATAGTTGTTTGAATCACTTTTGAAAACTATAAAGCATATATTCTCGAACGATCTGGGACCTGTGTTTGGGGTCATTATTTTAATAAAATTGAAATGTTGTCCCCAATGCCAATTTTTCAGCATTACATTTCAAATTATCTTTTAGAATGTTTAAATAAGAAATGTTATCCATTAATTGCTTCAATAAAAAAATGATTTCCTACTCTGACAGCGCCCATACCATAACAAAGCCTCCTCAGTGCTTTACGATCGGAATTGTGTGCTTAGAGTATGGCTTTATTCGCCCTGCGCCATACTAGGGATACGTACTCGAGCGCAAAAGTCGACTTTTAGACTTTCTAGTTTTTTCCGCTGACCAAAAGTCGATTTTAAGTTTTTTCCATTTTTAATTTTGACAAAAAAGTCGACTTCTATCTTTCGATTTTGTCAGAACTGTTCAAAATCGATTTTCGACTTTTACCGACTAATGCAAAATCGTTGTCAACAGATAAAATAAACTTCTAGAATGTGTAATTTTTGGACAATTTGGGCTTTGAGATAACAAAACAAGGATTTATGATGAAGATCGAAAGTCGGTTCGGCTATTTTCCGGTGAGATTTTCCCAGTTTAGAATGGTGTATAACTACTTTTCTCTCGGCAATCGATGTGTGGCGTCTCATGGTCTCAAATTCTCACGATGGCTATCAAACAGGTGCTTGAAGTTTTTTTTTTTTTTTAATTTTTATATGTTCATCGGATAAGTGCTAAATACTGTAAGTAGCTTCAACTATACAAATATTAAGTGTCGATTAATGAATTGCAAATATTTTTTTATTTGTATAGATGGGGGGAACAAATATAGATCACATATCCCAACTGTTGAAGAAAATATTCTATGTCACGAGGAAATACTTAAATTAGAACCCCTATATGTAGCCATGTACGAGGAATTGATATTAGTGATGCTGTTTATGAAGACATTTTTGAATTAGCTGAAAAAGAATCAAGTTTGTTTCCGATTGTACTGATAGGGCGTACGAAATAATGGGCTAGTTGGATAATTACGAAGACATGAATTATATTTTTTGAAGGTTCATTGACCAAAGTCTTCGAAATAGATTATAAATATAATAGAGTTTATGGGGGGCACTACGACAATCGACACTGCATACGGCGATTTTAAATTGTATACAGAAGTCAGATGTCTGAGTAAAGGGGAACCCTGTTGTTTCTATTTTGGACACAGTTTAAAGGCGATCGTGGAACTGCCAGCCCATTATATAACCTATAAATGAAATTTTTTGTGGTATTTATTCGTATACGTATGAGGTATGCAAATAGCATATAAAATATCAATGGACCATAAACGATTGCAATGTGGTTTCAATCTATTTATAGTTTGTGGCCATGTCGAATTATAATGTCGTCAATACCTATAATTTTTTGGCGTGCTTCCATTTCATGTTTACATTCTACATTTTTATGAAAATTTTTAATGTGTTCCTATTTGCAAAACAAAGTGCGTCGTTCAAATATTTGGCAAATAATATTTGTTTTTTTAGTCGTCTTGGAATCTTACAGATTTCTCATCTATATTTCCTACGTTTAATCTCAATTTGTATGGGTTTCTGGTTTGATAGGTTCCACAGCTATAGATTACATATGGTATTGATCCCGTATATTCTACATATGATCCTGAGACATTTTTTATGAATACCGGTAAATTTTGCTCAGATTGATACAATTATTTAGTTATCAAAAATACTTATATTTTAGACTATGGACGCCATCTATTGGCTGACATTTCTCGAAAATAGTTTTTCATTCACTATAATTGTTGTAAAAGTGCTGCCCATCATTGCTATAACAGGTGTTTGTGTCTTTGCTACGTCAGAGATGGCATTATTATAACAATTGTCACACAGTAGCATTAAAGGAGCCAGCGATGTATTTTGTCAACAGGGCTCACACACTACGATGAATGACAACATATACCAACCGGGGAAGAAGCAGCATATGTTATGACTGTTGTCAAACCCCCCCTCCAACACAATTAGAGTTAGCACTTGACCCAAGTCAATTGTTTTGCGTGTAGTTTTAATAGAAAGAATAGAAAAAAAGATAAATTTATAAAAATAGAAAATAATGGCTGCTGTAGAACGTTTCGATATTGAAAAAGTGACACAAGTATTCCAAGATTCGTTGCGAGATGAGGACGATGTTCAAATGGATGAATATTTAAAGGCCTACGAGGAAATTATGAAGTATGAATTGAACAAAGAGACAGACAGACATAGCTATATAAGGACAAGGACTTTTTCCCATCTTTGTTCATTCAGATGATTGTGACATGACATTTGTATTTTTTTGTTTTCAGATTTTTCAGTTTAATTGGCAGCGTTTTTGGCTTTGTCAGCAGTGATGTTCGCAACAAAATTGATATTTTAATAACATTTCGCAAAGATGAAGAGAAAGCTGAAAACTTTGTAACGTTCAAAACAATGATGTCATATGAAAAGGATACGGGTCTGTTGAAGGATTCCAAATATGTATCGGGAAGTCGAACGTTATTACGTTTGCATCGAGGATTAGGTATGTGAAAAGAGAGAGAATGCTGGGTAGTAAAAGGGGAGCGGCGGGTGGTGTGAAATGTTAAATGAAAAATCAAGCATTGTGTACTACACCACCAAATTTGGTATCTTATCATGTGAACTAAAAAAAGTAAACATGAATACAGATGCAATTTGAACTAGATAGGAACATGATCAAATGAGTGTCAAAGTACTGATTAACTTTTTGGAAATCATAGTGCTCGATATGCAATGCCAACCTTTGAAATATTGAAGACTAGAATACTCGAAAGCATACTTTTTCCTAACATGAGAACACCCTTTTGTCTTCTATAAGAAGTTTTTTTTGGTCTTCTATGAGAATACCATTTGGCTTTCTATGAAAATCCCTTTGGTTTACAATGAGGAGACCCTTTGGCGTTCTATGAGAAGTTATTTCGGTATTCCATTTATTGTTCAAATAGAAGATTTTCAAAAAAAAAAAAAAAATATATGGAAGTATTCCAAAATGTAAAATTTTATCTCAATCGAACAAACTTCGCATACTACAATCTGGACCTAATTCAGTGCTCTGTACAACATTTTGTCTCAATCGGACCAATATTGGCAGTATGGTGCACCATTTACATAAAATCGTACGAAACTATATATGGGAGGTAGATCTAAATCTGAACCGATTTAAGCAAAACTTGGCATATATCAGTCTAGACAAAAATACATGGACAGAGGGACATGCATAAATCGACTCAGAAAGTAATTCTATGCATATTCTCAAAAGGATCCATTGGTCTATCTCGACAAAGGCATAATACCCTTTACCACAGTGTGGTGAAGGGTATAAATACTGTTTGGTGTTCTATAAAAAAGACCTTTTTTTATTTTATAAGACTTTTTGGGCCTCAATAAGAAGACTTTTTGGTCTTTGATAAGAAAACATTAATGTTTTCTAAAAGATCTCTTGGTCTTCCATGAGAAAAACTGTTGGTCTTCTCTAAGATAACCTTTTAGACTTCTAAAAGAATGCCTGGCCTATTGGGCTTCTATGAAATTATATTTTGATATTGTTCTAAAAAAAACTTCGATCTTTTTTAAAAATATGTTTTGGGTTTCTTTTTGGTTTTTTATAAGAAGGCTTGTTGGACTTTTTTGTGAAGGCAAAATATATATAACATGTCTCATAGAATACATGCTTTTTTGTGGAAGCCAGATCTTATTCACTTTTTTTATTTAAAATAAGATCTCTTGATTCTTTAGAAAAAAAATCTATGGTTATATTTTCTATACAGTATTTTTCGGTTAATTGATCCTACGGTTAATTGGTTTCCACGCTTAATTGAACCACATGATGGGTCAAAAATATTTCATTTCTATAATGAACAAAAATTTGTGCAAATTTTGATGTGCAACTAACCGAAAAATACTGTATAATATTTATTCTAACCCCAAATATATAAATAAATCAAAATGTTCATCCTATGTTATTCTCCTTTCAGAATTTGTCTACGAATTCCTACTCAAATTAGCTGATTTGGCAGAAAACGAAAAGGTGCATCAAACCTGTAAGGTGGCCTACGAGAATACACTGGCCAAACATCATCCATGGGTTGTAAGGAAAGGTGCTCTTGTCGCTATGTACGCACTACCAACTCAAGGAGAACTATTGAAACGTGTCTGTACGAATGTCCCTCGAGCTATAGAAGTACTGCCAGAAATGTTAAAGAACACTAAAATTGTCTATGATCGTACTCATGCATTGTATACCCTCTACGATTTACATGCATTGCCTTAAATTCTCAAATTTTACTGTACATATGGTGCCCCACTCTATATATATATATATATATACAATATATACACAACAACCCTATCTATAATAAGTTAGCTTCATTTTTAATTTATTGTGTTTGTAACCATGCTGCTAGAATGTTCAATTTTAAATAGTTAAATGTTGTATTTTAAACAATTATCTAATCAATTAAGTGCTAATATTATTCTATATAAGTTAGTTTTTTTATAATTCAACATTCCTTTGACAAACTGTATGCCTTACAAAAAAATAAATATCAGCATAGTTCCCTAAACTATTGCCCCATAATTCATTCTTTTATCATTGTTTACAATTTGGTTTACATGGTGAATATAAATCATAATTCCTTTTGATACCCCACCCATTGTCAACATCTTTTTTTAATTTGTTAGTCCAATATAGAGCGGTTAAATTCGCTTGCAAACTGTAATATTTTTCCAAACCTAGATCAAGTCCGAAGATGGGAACCATCGGCCTACTCTCTTTGGTACCTCCCATATATAAAACGGATAATAAAACCTGTGTGTAATTCTGCCGACCATAGGCTGAGGGTATATATCTGTCGGCCACACCGGCTGACACTTCAGATTTAATGTTGATTAAATCCGTAATTCAATTCGCTTCAATTTAATCAAATGAACAAGTATGTAAATATCGGCTGCAAAATCTCTGATTTTGGTTCAAAGTAACATGGGGGTCTAAGCAAATATTTCGATGCGGCACATTTTTGTCCTCGCAAAGAATAATAATTATAAATTTAATTTTGTTTCTTCATATTTTCTTTAATAATTTACTTACGGTTTTGTGGGATATATGCCAAGAACAATTTCGTAGATATTTTTGAAAGAACTTGCACAATTTTTCTACTTAATCCTGTTCAAATGCATCGATTTTTATTTTGATGTTTAGATGTCTTTTGCTTCAAGGGCTATTTACACAAACTAATATTTTGTTGCGCAACATTTGAGACTAAGCTGGCAACTTGGCAACATTTGCACGACAACACGAAACCCGAACGTTTTAAAAAAACGTTTTTTTTTTCAGTAAAATCACAACATTCTCAACAATATCATTCCGTTTGCAATATATGGTGTTTTGTAAGTGATTAATATATATTTTTTAAATAATTTAGAACACTCTAAATATCTATTTTTAAACAAATTTGCACTCTAACACAAATTTCCCTTTAACATGGGGCAAATAAAATCACAACTGAGCAAGTCGTCATCAAAAGGCGCCAATTTGCCCATTGCTGCAAAGCCATTGTAAACACTTTCGACGCCTTCATAGTTAAAGACCAAATGTCACCTGTAACTGCTGTACGCCGTTGGCATTTGCCAAAGCACACTATTCGTCATGGGTATTAATAAAGAAGTTGCACATTTTTCTGCTTAATCTTGCTCATATGCAACAGTTGTGATGTTTATCTACATTTAGCTTCAAAAACACAAGGGCTATTCACTCAAGCTAATATAATGTTGAACAACATTTGAGACTTGGTGGCTGCATGGCTAAATTTGTGTGGATGGCTGATCGAAACGTACATAATTTTTCAAAATACGTTTTTTCAGAAAAAATCACACTTTTCAGCACAATAACTATACTTTTGCAAAATATGATATTTTGTAATTATTTCAAATTATTTAAGACACACTAAATATTTCTTTTTCAAATGATTTTGCACTGTTACACAAATTTCCCTTTAACATGGAACAAATAAAAGCACAACTGAGCAAGTCGTCATCAAAAGGCGCCAATTTGCCCATTGCTGCAGAGCCATTGTAAACACTTTCGACGCCTTCATCGTTAAACATCAAATGTTACCTGCCCAAACGGTCTTTTACACTATTCGTCATGGGCATTTATAAAGAAGTTGCGCATTTTTTCTGCTTAATCTTGCTCATATGCAACGGTTTTGATATTTAGCTGCATCTAGGTTCAAAATCACAAGGGCTATTCACACAAGCTAATATTTTGCTGAGCAACATTTGAGACCTACCTGGAACTCAGCAACATTTGTGTGGATGGCTGATCGCAACGAGCTTTTCAAAATAGTTTTAAAAAAATCACACTTTTCAGCACAATACCTCTACTTTTGCAGTATATCGTATTTTGTAAGTATTTAAAATTATTTAACACACACTTAATATCTTTTTTAAACGATTTTGAACTGTTACACAAATCTGTTACACAAATAATGAACTGTTACACAAATAAAATCACAACTGAGCAAGTCGACATCAAAAGGCGCCAATTTACCAATTGCTGCAAAGCCATTGTAAACACATTCGACGCCTTTATCGTTAAACACCAAATGTCACCTTTAACTACTGTACGCCGTTGGTATTTGCCCAACGGCTTCATACTCCGCCACACAGACCGTTAAGTCTTGATTTAGATTAGGCGAGTTTACTTGCGGCAACTCTTGTCGTTCTATTTTGAACTTGCTTCATGGGTCTATACAAGGCAATTCGGCTTCCAAAATAGTTTTCTATTTGTTGTTTTTTCACATTTAAATATATATAAAATGTCAACAAATACGAAATACACAAAACGAATTGCCAGAAAATTGTCGGTACAAGCAATTTTTTTCATTTCTATTGCCTTGCCCCTCTCGCCTACAAATAAAGACTCGCCGCAAGTAAACTCGCTTAATCTAAATCATGACTAAGGAACATCGGTTTTTTTGTATGCCATATGGGTGGGGAATATTGTTGTCAACTAGGACACATAGTCGAGCGCAAAAATCGACTTTTAGATCTTTCGATTTTTTTCAAACCTGTTCAAAACTAATTTTTAAATTGTCGTTTGGCGTTGTCAACATGCATATAACAACGCCGTCACACATTAACATTTCAGTATGGCTCGGTTCTCTGACTGCAGCTGATGTGTGTGTTGTGTTGTAAAAACCTAATTCGTAATATTCGGTTATACCAGGTGGAACGTTTTTCATTTTTGCTTCCGTCAGGTAATTGCCAAACACAAACCGGTAAGGAACAGGTTTTTTTTGCATGCCATATGAGTGGAGAATATTGTTGTCAACAACAAATAAAACTTAACCAAAGTTAACTCTTTTAATATTCTAGAAAAAACAAGTGACGTGCGTTCATTTTGTAAACAAACACAAACTCACACCGGCCGATTCCCAACAATACCATCGTAACTCCCCCAATCATGAGCAAATATACAGTGAAATACCTTGAAGATAAACTGACCAAAGAACTTGAGGCCCAATATGTACATGCGGTTGATGATTCGGATGGTTGTGGTGCCAAATTCAGTGTCATAATTGTATCGGAAAAATTCAAGGGCCTAAAAATGCTGCAGAAACATCGTTTAGTCAACACCGTGCTGGCCGAAGAGCTGAAAGAAATCCATGCCTTTTCTCAGAAATCCTATACGCCAGAAGAGTGGGAGAAAGTGCAGCAAGAGAAATAAATAAATGCAGATAGAAGAGAGAGACAACTTTGCGGTTCAGAAACCAAAAACAACAACAAAAGTTGTCAATGGCCAATGTGGTTGGTAAGGTAATTGAGGAGGAGAGCAGAGATTATGTCGACGACGATGTTGTTTGGCTGCTGAACCAACCAGTTGTTTATGAACCGACGTAACGAACAGTTGTTAAAAGTAAAAAAATACAAAACAAAAAATAAAGATAGAAATAAAGCGAAATAATAATAAAAAACGAAACAAGACTGCATCCGTAACAGGCAAAACAGTTTTTGTTGTGTGGTGGTAGTTCAGTTCATTGGTTTCGTCGAGTAGTCCATTGTCTGAAGCGAGACGAACAAGAAGTGAAAGTGTTTTTGGGGAGCGAACATAAACTTCAACATTGTCAGTCAATCAGCAGTCGGGTTTAAGCTCAGCTTGGTTGTGTTGTAATATTTAAATAATTATTTTTGTTTTACATACGCACACAAGAAAAAAAGGCCAGCATTAGACTGCCGTTCCATAGACATCCATCAAAGTCGTTATCATCATCATCAGCGTAGTAGTATTGTTAGAAGTTGAGATCAAAGTTGTCTAATTGGTATTCCGATTCGGGTTTAGTTGTTGCCGTTTTGTTTTTTTTTCTTTTCATTTCAAAGAGGGAGCGAAGCCCAGTTTATCTTGTGAAGTCATCAGCGAGTTCATTGTTTGGTCTCGTTTCGTTTGTATACAACAATTATTATATAATGTTGAATTTCCAAGTCAAATCACCTGGCAAGATCATTTTGCATGGCGAACATGCAGTGGTCTATCACAAACCAGCTTTGGCTGCAGTCGTGGGTGTGGGCACAACCCTCAAATTCCAAACGGCAACAGAAGACACGAAGAACAACAAAGTCGTCACTTTCAAATTGGAGGCCTTAAATACGAGTTTTGAAATTGACATAGCCAACTTCAATAATTTCTTAAAACACTGTCGTTCCAAGTTTCCCGAATGCAGTCTGGAAAATGCGGTACAGCTGTTGGAAGAAGTTCGTTTGGAATTGGCCAAACAACAGGATGATGTTGTCGACTTGGGTTCACCGAAAAAGCAGCAGACCCAAAAGGCCTTTATTTCAATTTATTATTTATTGGCGGGAGCCATATTGTCATCACCCATCAAGGATTTGCAACTGGAAACACCCTTTACCATCACCATTGACACAGAGTTGAATATTGGAGCCGGCTTGGGCAGCTCTGCTTCATATGGAGCCGCTTTGGCATCTGCCTTCTTGGCCTATGCCCAACATTTTGACTTGGCCAACTATAAAGAGGAAGAAAATCAACAATTAATTTCCATGTGGGCATTTGAATCGGAACGAGTTATGCACGGCACACCGTCGGGCATAGATAACACCGTATGTACCTATGGTGGTATGCTGCGTTTTGTCAAAGGCCAAGGTTTTCAACCCGTGAAAATTTTACGTCCCCTTCACATCCTACTCGTCGATAGTAAAGTAAAACGATCAACTGCCGATATTGTGGCAAAGGTCAGACATTTAGGTGAAACATTCCCCGAAGTGATAAATGCCATTTGGAATGCCTGTGAAGCCTTGGTAAATACTGCCATCCCGCTCTATGAGAATTTCGGTACATGCCAGGATGATAGTGAAAAATTCGAAAAACTTGAACGGCTATTTCAAATCAACAATGATCTCATGAAAGCCATCGGTGTAACACATCCCAAATTGGAACAAATATTTTCGATTGCCTTCAAGCGTGGCTTCTTTAGTAAAATAACTGGAGCCGGTGCTGGTGGTTATGCTATTGTCCTGTTGCCGGAGAATTATGCCAGCAATGAAGTCTATTGGAAATTGAAAGAAGAATTAGAAGGTGCTGGCTTTGGAGTACATGCCACCACGGCTGGAGGTGAGGGGTTACGCATGGAGCCATTGTAGGATCGAATATGATGAACTACACTTGAAGGTGTTCACGAACGAAATAAATTATTTTTATTGTATATGTAGTGTGTTGTATGTACTTAAATGTTTGTATATTATTTTTTAATTTTTTTATTAAATTTTGTAATCCTTTTTTGTGTAATAAAGTATTTGTATTTTTTTAAATATCTATATTGTAAAGCAAGTGTTTCCCTCTCTTCTCCAAATGTGAATGATGTCGGTAAATCTGTGTTGATTTCAGTCAGTATAACTCCTGGAGAAAAGTAGAAATAGTATTGGCGTCGATATCCTGCAAATAACAAAGTAGAGATTGAAAGTTAATAGCCAATTAGGGTTTATTGGGAAAGTCCTGACAAAATATAGGCTGTTTTTTTAATAAAGATATTAGCCAGTAATAATAAAATGATCATTTATTATAAGTTCACATTGTTGGGATTCGGGTCATACTCATTATTATTATTTATTTATTCATTTCAAAGCCAAGCCAAAAAGCCTTAATTAATTACAATATAGATAATTATTTGTAGGTTAATATTCGCATTATATTACTACAGTAAAAGCCTATTTGGCTTTGTTACTATGCTTAATAAATGAAATGAAATAATAACCCGCTTATATTATAAAATGTTATTACGAATTATTGAAGTCTTCGAAGCTCAAATCTGGCTGTTTTTGAAAATCACAATAGAACTTACGATATTTAAGATAGAGCTTTTGAAATTTCGCACATTGGTTGGTATTGAAAATGCTATATATTTTTGTAGCCCCACCTTGAACGATGTCGTTCTATGTATGGTATTTTGAATTTTTTAATTATATTTTCAACGAAAGTAGCTGTCATTAGAATTTCCGTTCTTGGATATAAAACGTCTACGCATCAAAAATTAGGTCCTGTTTTACAAATGCATATTTCGGGGATTCAGGAAAAGTTTGTCATTGTTTAGGACAGTTTTAAAAAAATGGTCCGTATGTGTCCACGATTGGGAATAGCCTCTACACGATTTAAAGTGCATAGGATAATTTTTCAACTGTAAAGTCTGTATGCTACATTTTTCATCAAAACGAAGATGGAAGACTTTTCGCAAAACGCGTACAAATTAGGTTAAATTTTTGGCCAAGCCCAGACTCAACTGGTAATCATTTCATGGCTTAAGTCTAGTTTAGAGCCCCCCGAGGATCGTGTTGAAATTTTTACATGTAGTCCTTGGGGTCCTGTTTCTTGGGGTAATCGGTATTTCCGGAGATATGGGCCTCCAAAGTTTCGTAGGGACCCATATATGTTCTCACGGTTTTTAACATTTACTGAGGCAATATGGGTATCGATTTAAAGCGTTCGAAGTCCTTATTACAAAAACACTATTTAAATTAAAGGGAGGTGCGATCACGTAGCCGGAGCTGCCACCTATCCATAGGAGAAAGTTTTAATCCATACCATAGTAATCAGAGCCCAAAGGTTTACATGTGGTAAAAGTTGCAAAACGATCCGCGAGGGGACCCTAAACTAGACTTGTTCCCACTTCATTTCACGTGTGATAATTTCGTATTGTAGAATCAAGTGTAATTTGGTCTACATCGGGTTTCAAAATTCACTTAGTTTGTCGAAGAATTTTCTGTTATTTTGCTTAATTTGGTCGGGACCTAGGTTAGGAGATTGTTCAATAACCTGTAAAATCTCACATTAAAGGTTTTTGTCCATCCGTGTGAGGGGTCTATTGGAGACATGCTATTTTGTTTCTAATTCCACGCTCAATGACACGATTTAATCAGAATGACTCCTAGTAAAGTAGTTACATAGTTGTAGTTAAAAAAAATTGGTGTGCCATGTTAACTATTATCATAACGGAGCCAGCTATACTGCGATAAGGGGCTGCTTGGGTCCACAATGAATTTATGTTTGAAGAGTTATGAAGAAGACACACCATGAAATCAGCAGTTACTTTAAACGTATTATTCTACCAAATGTACCTATATTAATTTTCTACAATATTTACAATAAAACTTATGACATAGAAGTTAATAAAGTTCCATGGCAAAAATTGTACTTACATGAATGCTTTTCCAGTTCCCATAACTCTCTTAGCGTTGACTTGTATCTCTGGGTCTGTAGGGTATGCCTCGACTTTTCATTTCTCGCAATGTTGCTTGTGGCAATGTTCCCGATACAGATATGGCATATATTCCTCGAGTAAAACGGCCTAAAAACACAAAAAATCGTTTTAAAAAGGCATAATTACAATTAGAGATAGCCAAATTAGTTATGTAAATTTCCTACAAACATGCAGAACTTGCAATTTCATGCCACATCTCATAATCTTTTAGGGCTTAAGTCAAGTTTAGAGGCTGCACTCGTAAGTATGCCTTGGTGAGCTGATCACGGGGGTATACATTTTATGTGGGGGAAATGCATATTTCTTGAAAACCTTGGTTAAAGCCATACATTTAATTGTAATTCAATGTGATACGAGTGGAGCCCAAACACTTGTTCCTTGTTTCTGGAAGAAATCTGTAAAAATGTTCATCATTACTCACCTATTCTCTGCCACTTGGCAACCCAAGAATCCTCAGGACTCATCAAAGCAATCAATCCATCGAAATTGTTACTCGTATGATCATAAACATTGTCCTTGTTGTTTTTCATGCGCAAAAATTCATCGCAATTGTCGCAGCCATCATATTCAAATTGATCGAACGTCTGTGAAAATAAATATTAATTTGTTTCTATTCCACATTAATTTAAGTAAATGAACTTACCTTAATTAGGGAGCACACCAAGCATGCACGTAAACCACGTAGATCTTTTGGTATCGTATCGAAAGACATTCTGTAAAATTGTTAATATTATGTTTTTGTTCACACAATTGTTAAAAAACACGCAGCTGGCGAATTGTCGAGAAATGGTAGGAATAACAGTAAAATTAAACAAAATGAAAAACGTTCCACATGCTAACGAATGGGAGGAGAAGACAAAATGACTGAAAGTTTACGAATGATGTGGGAGGGAGACTAAGAGAACCCGTATTGTTTACAACACAACACTCACAGCAGCTGCAGTCAGAGAACCGAGCCATAATGTTAATGTGTGACGGCGTTGTTGTATGCATGTTGAGAACGCCAAACGACAATTTAAATTTGTAATTAAATTGCATTATTTGGTAAAAGTCAACTTTTTGATCAGAGGCAAACATCGACAAGTCTAAAAGTCGACTTTAACTCTCGAATAGCGGTAAACAAATGCCAAAAACAAAGAGATCATAGTCGATTTGGCATTCGAAGGCATAACGGCGTGAACACATTGTTTAATGGCGTTAGAGTTTACGCACACAATGTGGGAGGATGGCGAAAAGAGTCAGTATTTGCAGAAATCTAATTGGGATAAAATGAAAGCTCACGAGAAAAAGAAATTTTGAAATAATAGCGGTGTTTTGCTCGACTAAAAAGACTCCCTTTAGCTCATTTATAAAGACTTCCATCGACTCGGCTATAAAGAAACCTTCAGGTCGTCTATAAAGACTCCCTTCAGGTCGTCTATAAAGACTCCCTTCAGGTCGTCTATAAAGACTCCCTTCAGGTCGTCTATAAAGACTACCTTCAGGTCGTCTATAAAGACTACCTTCAGGTCGTCTATAAAGACTCCCTTCAGGTCGTCTATAAAGACTCCCTTCAGGTCGTCTATAAAGACTCCCTTCAGGTCGTCTATAAAGACTCCCTTCAGGTCGTCTATAAAGACTCCCTTCAGGTCGTCTATAAAGACTCCCTTCAGGTCGTCTATAAAGACTCCCTTCAGGTCGTCTATAAAGACTCCCTTCAGGTCGTCTATAAAGACTCCCTTCAGGTCGTCTATAAGGACTCCCCTTCAGCTCGTCTATAAGGACTCCCCTTCAGCTCGTCTATAAAGACTCCCTTTCAGCTTGTCTATAAAGACACCCTTGAGCTTGTCTATAAAGACACCCTTTCAGCTCGTCTATAGAATCCCTTTAAGATCGTCTATAAATATTCCCTTCAGCTCGTCTATAAAGACTCCCTTCAGCTCGCTTAAAAAGACTCATGTAAAAAGGCCCCCTTCAGCGTTACCGCCTTTTTGAACCCAATCACCAGCTGTCGTCTTGTAAACCCTTGTGCCCAAAACGTACCTAAATAACCCTGCATTTAAATGTAAACATTCCCGGCGAATTCGCCTTGTTTTCATTCTGAAAAATATTGGGGGCAAATTTGCTCTGCGACTAGGTTATTTAATAAACAATTGAAAATTCCTTTACTTTCCACTCCAAAATAATGCTGACATTGCGTCCGGTGGCGCCATTTTTACAACGGACCTGTTGCTCATTGCGATTTTATGCCCGACCGACGACAACCACATCGAAGAAATCCTCATCATCCCCGTCCAAAACTGAGGCTATGAAGAAATTCGTTCATCAGGAAACACTGAGGTATCTCAGTCCGACGTGTAATGTCAAAGTGATATCGGATATATTTTTAAAAGTCCGTTCAGCAGATGTTCATGAATATCCAAATGGTGATGTTTTCATTGCCCAGCTGCATGGTGGTCCAGCCAAAAATTGTCCCGCCTCTATGGAGGTTAATGTTAGCGATGATGAGAATAATGTGGAGGTTGTGGTTAAGAAATTAAAGGATGATACGGGAGATTTCTTTTGTGAACTGGAAGTGCCGGTTAAGGCAAGTTTAGAGGCTACATCGAATAGTGGTGCAAATATATCGAAAATTTTCGGGGATTTCCTCAAATTAAAAGCGGAAAATTATATAAGTGTATCGGATGTCAAGGCGGAGGAGATCAGCGTTGAGAGTGTCAATGGGAATGTGTTTAGTCGTGGTCTTTTGCTGGGCAAGCGAACGAAAATCGTAACCAATAATAATGGTGTAAGTCCAATAGCTTATATTCGATGACTATAAAATAAATTATAATATTTGATTTTTACACATTTTAGCACATTATTTTAGACAAACTCCAAGGTGATGAGATCCTCTGTAAGACCGACAATGGTAATATCACAACAAATTGCTGTTATGTCGAGTCATCAGTTTTCGAAACGAATGCGGGCGATTTGGACTTGAAAAATATACACAAGACTAGTCAGGTTAATGTACAACAAGCCGAAGGGAATTTGAAAATGAGTAAGTCGAATATAAATAATTCAAATTTATAAAATATATTTTTTTATAAAACAACATTCCTTTTCCAGCTGGCGTCCATGGCAATTTAAATGTCAACTTTAATGGTACTGCTATGGAGCTACAATTATCCGAACTGAATGGTGAAAATTGTATTAAATCAAATCAAGCCAAATCGATTGTTATAAACATTTCCGATGACATTGAAAATAATACTTCGATATTGGCGAATTTGCAAAATAAGAATTCGGGCATAACATTGGATCCTTCACTTCAGCATTTAAATGAAGGTCTTTCGGAAAATAAACAATGTTTTAAATGGCCCAAAGACAAGGAACAAGAGTGTAAGTTAGAGGTAAATGTTAATAGTCCATTGACATTGGGTAAATCATCATGGGCGGATATGTTACGTTTAAAAATGCAGCAAAATCAAAAGAATAATAACAATAATAACAATGCAATGTAAATAGTTAATAGGTGTTTTTCGTTTTTTAAATTTTAATATTAATAAAAAAATATTGAAAATTTTATTTATTTTTATTAAAATAAAATTTGCAAGGTTTTTCTTTAATTTATTACTGCCTTCAACTCGTCTATAAAGACTATTTACGTACCAATAAGTACGAATTTCCAAAACTACCTCATTCGAACACTCCAATAATAATCTTAATCTGAAATTGTACAAACTTTAGTACCATTTATTACTTTTCCTAGACGTACGTTCGATTTTCCAAAACTTCTTCAATTCTTCACTCCAACAGTAACTTTAATCAGAAATTTCAGGATCCCAGTCCTATCCGTTCACATAGATCTAAATTGTACCATATTTAGTACTTTTCGTACTTATATGTTCGATTTTCTAATACCACCTCAATCCATGTACTCTAACAGTAACTACTACTTCTTTACAGGAAAGTGAAAAGTTCAGATATCTGAAAAGTGCAGATATTCTGAAAAGTGCAGATATCTGAAAAGATCAGATATCTGAAAAGTGCAGTTATCTGAAAAGTGCAGATATCTGAAAAGTGCAAATATCTGAAAAGCTCAGATATTTAAAAATGCAGATATCTGCAAAGTGCAGATATCAGAAAAGTGCAGATATCTGAAAAGTGCAGCTATCTGAAAAGGGCAGCTATTTGAAAAGTGCAGATATCTCAAAACTGCAGATATCTGAAAAGTGCAGATATCTGAAATCTGCAGACATCTGAAGTAATTTACCTGCCTCAACGTGCACGTAAGATAAATTGCTGCATAATGCGGGGTCAATGACTCTTAATCCGGGGTCAATGACCCTTAATCCAGGGTAAATGACCCTTAATCCGGATTAGCGTAATCTGGGGTCAATGATCCTTAATCCGGATTAGCCTAATCCGGGGTCAATGAACCTTAATCCGGATTAGCCTAATCCGGGGTCAATGACCCTTAATCCGGATTAGCCTAATCCGGGGTCAATGACCCTTAATCCGGATTAGCCTTAATCCGGGTCAATATCCCATAATCCGGGGTGAATGACCTTTAATCCGGATTAAGCTTAATCCGGGATCAATGACACTTAATCCAGGGTCAATGACACTTAATCCGGATTAAGCCTAATCCGGGGTCAATGACCCTTAATCCGCACTAAACCTTGACCTTGGTTAAGGGTCATTGACCCCGGATTAAGGGTCATTGACCTCGGATTAAGGCTTATCCGGATTAAGGGTCAATGAAAAGTGCAGATATCTGATATAATATACCTGCCTCAACGTGCACGTAAGTGATATCGCTGCATAATCCGGGGGCAATGACCCTTAATCCGGATTAAGCCTTAATCCGGTGTCAATGACCCTTAATCCGGATTAAACCTTAATCCGGTGTCAATGACCCTCAATCCGGATTAAACCATAATCCGGGGTCAATGACCCTTAATCCGGATTAAACCTTAATCCGGTGTCAATGTCCCTCAATCCGGATTAAGCCTTAATCCGGGGTCAATGACCCTTAATCTGGGGTTAATGACCCTTACTCCGGATTAAGCCTTAATCCGGATTAAGGGTCATTGACCCCGGATTAAGACTTAATCCGGATTGAGGGTCATTGACACCGGATTAAGGCTTAATCCGGATTAAGGGTCATTGACCCCGGATTAAGGTTTAATCCGGATTAAGGTTCATTGCCCCCGGATTAAGGGTCATTGACCCCGGATTAAGGCTTAATCCGGATTGAGGGTCATTGACACCGGATTAAGGCTTAATCCGGATTAAGGGTCATTGCCCCCGGATTATGCAGCAATATCACTTACGTGCACGTTGAGGCAGGTATATTATATCAGATATCTGCACTTTTCACTTTCCTGCACAGAAATAGTTGCAAGTGTCATTGACCCCGGATTAAGGCTTAATCCGGATTGAGGGTCATTGACACCGGATTAAGGTTTAATCCGGATTAAGGGTCATTGACCCCGGATTATGGTTTAATCCGGATTAAGGGTCATCGACCCCTGATTAAGGTTTAATCCGGATTAAGGGTCATTGACCCCGGATTATGCAGCAATATCACTTATGTGCACGTCGAGGCAGGATATCTGCACTTTTCACTTTCCTGCACAGAAAATGCAGGTAATCCGTACTAAACCGGATTAAGGCTTAATCCGGATTAAGGGTCATTGACCCCGAATTAAGGCTTAATCCGGATTAAGGGTCATTGATCCCGGATTAAGGCTTAATCCGGATTGAGGGTCATTGACACCGGATTAAGGTTTAATCCGGATTAAGGGTCATTGACCCCGGATTAAGGTTTAATCCGGATTAAGGGTCATTGCCCCCGGATTATGCTGCAATATCACTTACGTGCACGTTGAGGCAGGTATATTATATCAGATATCTGCACTTTTCACTTTCCTGCACAGAAATAGTTGCAAGTGTCATTGACCCCGGATTAAGGCTTAATCCGGATTGAGGGTCATTGACACCGGATTAAGGTTTAATCCGGATTAAGGGTCATTGACCCCGGATTAAGGATTAATCGGGATTAAGGGTCATTGACCCGGATTAAGGTTTAATCCGGATTAAGGGTCATTGACCCCTGATTAAGGTTTAATCCGGATTAAGGGTCATTGACCCCGGATTATGCAGCAATATCACTTATGTGCACGTCGAGGCAGGTATATTATATCAGATATCTGCACTTTTCACTTTCCTGCACAGAAATAGTTGCAAGTGTTATTTATGCAGGTAAGTCAAAACAACTGTACTAAATTTGATAAAATTTAGATTCGAGTGAACGAATAGAGATGGAAAACTTATCAGCTCGTCTATAAAGACTCCCATTCAGCTCGTCTATAAAGACTACCATTCAGCTCGTCTATAAAGACTCCCATTCAGCTCGTCTATAAAGACTCCCATTCAGCTCGTCTATAAAGACTCCCATTCAGCTCGTCTATAAAGACTCCCATTCAGCTCGTCTATAAAGACTCCCATTCAGCTCGTCTATAAAGACTCCCATTCAGCTCGTCTATAAAGACTCCCATTCAGCTCGTCTATAAAGACTCCCATTCAGCTCGTCTATAAAGACTCCCATTCAGCTCGTCTATAAAGACTCCCATTCAGCTCGTCTATAAAGACTCCCATTCAGCTCGTCTATAAAGACTCCCATTCAGCTCGTCTATAAAGACTCCCATTCAGCTCGTCTATAAAAAGACTCCCATTCAGCTCGTCTATAAAGACTCCCATTCAGCTCGTCTATAAAGACTCCCATTCAGCTCGTCTATAAAGACTCCCATTCAGCTCGTCTATAAAGACTCCCATTCAGCTCGTCTATAAAGACTCCCATTCAGCTCGTCTATAAAGACTCCCATTCAGCTCGTCTATAAAGACTCCCTTTCAGCTCTTTCAGCTCGTCTATAAAGACTCCCTTCAAATCGTCTATAAAGACTTTCTTCAGTAAATAAAAATCCATTAACATTTTGCATTGTTCCAAAAATTTGTTTTATTTTTCCTAATTTTTTCTTTAGTTACTTTTGATCACCCATATTTGTAAAATTTATTTTAATTTTGACTACAAAACAGAATTTTTTTATATAAAGAAAAAATCTTAATAAATACTTTGTTTTAAATGTTGCTTTAAAAATCTCTACATTATGGCACTTAAATTAATTACTTTAAATTTTGAGAATATCTTTTAATTTGGAATAGCACATTTTCAGTGATTCATTTTCAATTGGTTGTGTAAAAGTGTCCATAACTTTAAGGGCATATTTTCTGGGACATATTGTAAAGCATTGTTCCAATGTCTGATCATCTGTTTTCAAGATAATAAATAAAATCGTACTCAATACTGTGCTGAGTATTAATTCAAAATTGGTATTATTTTCTTCATCTGATGTATCATTTTCGAAATCGTTTGTTTTAGCGGTTGACTTTTTTAAACGTTCCTCGAGGGTCAGAGAGATTTTATAATGGAGTTTGAGTAGTTTTTGTGCAATTTCCAAATCGAATGGGTTGTTGAGAACCTGAAAGGTGGTTATGAAATAAAAAATACAATTTTAAATTAATTTTAATTGAAAGTTGTAAATTAATTTTATTAATTCTTCTTCTTACCCTTAATATATCATTTATACTATCCAAAACAATTGTTTCATATTGTTGCCATGCACTGGGTTCATCATCGACAGTCTTCAGAATCTCCTTCAGACACATTAACATTTCAGCATTAAACGAGGCATATGACTCCCTGCTGATCTCCTCGTATTGACTCAATATACTATGGATATTACAAAATGTTTGATTTCCTTTAAGTACACTTTCGGCAATGCTATCGTAATTATCCAAATTACTGGCAACATCTTTGTGCAGGGATTGCAAGCCCTCAATGGTCGCCCCCACTAAAGTTGTATCAACGAAAACTTTCTCAAATGTAGGCACTTTTATATCGTCCTTCGTCTTTCCATCTTCATCGTCATCATCCATTACAGCAAATTTGGCCAATATGGCATTCAGGGTTTCCATGGTCTGCAGGACCAGGGTATTATTGGCAGCACTTGCCAATATAAAGCAAATATTTTTAACAAATTGATCGCATTTCAGCAGATAATTGTACCACATGGTAACGCTGGACTCTTTCACTTTGACAAATACCACTGCAAAGAGACGCATCAATTGTTCCAGTGTAAGGGAATCTAAGCAGGAGCTTAGTTCCAACAGCACCTGTACAGTTTCTTCTTGCTGTTCCAATTGGTCGCGTGTTTCTTGTACATTACACATATTGGCCAAAATGCCCACCAAAATTTCCGATAGACGTTTATCCTCTGTGGTCCTTATGATGCCGGAAAATATTTCCAAAACATCCTGTTCCAAAAGGAACAATACCACATCCCTTTCAATTGTCATATCCCACAGGGAACATAAATCCCGCTCCACCTCCTCTTCATTTTGCAGATCTTTTTTAACTTCGGCCAATTTTAACAAGGTATTCAATACGAAACGTTCACTGTACAGGGTATCTCCAATGGCATCACCCTATGGATATACAAAAGAAAATTTTAATAACAATCCAATGTAGACTCTTTGAAATGTACCGCTTACCTTTAAAAGCTGTATATCTGTACCCTCGGCATCTGCATCCGGTAATGTGGGATTACAGGAGGCACTCTCGGTATCCACAACAGTTTTATTATTTTCCGGATTTTTAGTGCCGTTGGAATCATTGGATTTTTCTTCTTTTGTCTGTGGTGAAGACATCTTCAAGTAGGCAGCCGTCTGTCTGTCGGTCGTCGTCGTTCCAAACAAAAGTTTGTTTTGTATACAGACGCTCATGACCCGTCGTCATGTATCAGATGGTCTTGCAGAGCGAATTCCAGCAAAAAATACAACTCTGTGCGCACATTCATTGCAAAAAGTTTTTGTTTGGGGCGAAAAATTATTTCGTCGTCCAGTATTTTTTTGATATTTCAGAAGAATACCTTCTGGACTTTTATAAAATGAACTTTTAATCTACCATAAGAAGACCTTGAAATATAATCATCTAATATGAAGTCCTCCTGACTTTTAATACGAAGTCCTACTGTCTCTTCTAATCTCTTCTAAAAAGCCAATCTACAAGAATAATTTTTGGTTTTTAAAAACTGGATCTTCTGGTATACTATAAGAAGACTTTCCCTTCTTCTTCTACTCTCTTCTTAGAAGCCAATCTACAAGATTAATTTTTGGTTTTTAAAAACAGGATCTTCTGGTATACTATAAGAAGACTTTCCCGTCTTATCTTTTAGCCTTCTATAGGAAGACTTTCCTGTCACATATATGAATACCATACAGGTTCCAGCCAGAAAATCTTCTGATCTTACATAAAAATACTTCCTGGTATTCTATTAAAAATACCTTCTGGACTTTTACGTGAAGAATTCCCGGTATGCTATGAAAAGAACTCCTGATCTTCTATGCTATGAAAAGAACTCCTGATCTTCTAGAAGAATTCCTACTTTTGGGGTCTTTAAAAACAGGACCTTCTGGTATTCTATAAGAAGATTTTCTTGTGTTATCTTTTAGTCTTCTATTGAAAGACTTTCCTGTCACCTATATGAATATCCAGCAGTTTCCTGCCAGAAAACATTCTGATATTCTGGTCTTCTATTAAAAAAATATATTCTGGTCTTTTAAGTGAAGGCTTCCTGGTCTGCTTCAGTATTATTCTTCTGTATTATTATATGAAAAACATCTTGCTTTTTATAAGAAGACCTTGTGATCGTACGTATGAAGAGCTTCTGGACATTTGTGTGAAGATCTTCTGGTTCTTTTAAAAAAGACCTACTGGTCGGCTATGAAAATACCTGTTAGTATGATCTACCATGAGAAGGCTTCCTGGGTTTTGGTCATCTAAGAGAAGAATTCTAGGTATTCCAAGATAAGTATTTCTGGATTTTTTTAGCTTCCGGTTTTGTTATAAGAAGAACATCTGATCTGAACTTCTTCTGGTCTTCTGAAGAGCTTCCGAGAAGAGCTTCCGCTTTTCAATGCGAAGTAATTCGGGATTTAATTCTGGTGTTCTATGAGAAGAACATCTGGTCTTCCGTAAAAAGTGTTCTGGTCATCTGCGAGAAGAACTTCTTCTGGTAGTCTATGAAGAGGTCATTTTGGTCTTCTATAAAGAAGGTCTTCTGGACCTCTACGAAGAATACCTTCTGTTCTTTTTTGGAAACATTCTGGTCTTTTACGAAGAAGACCTTCTGGCCTTCTACGAGAAGACATTCTGGTCTTCTACGAGAATGCCTTCTGGCCTTCTACAAAGAAGACCTTCTGGTCTTCTATGAAGAGTATCTTGTGGTCTTCTATGAAGAAGAACTTTTGGCCCTCTATGAAAAATACCTTCTGTAAGAAGAGTTTCTGGTCATCTGTTAGTAGACCCTCTGAACTTCTATTAAGAAGGCCATCTATTCTTCTAGTAAGAATACAATCTGGTCTTAAATGAAAAGCATCTTGTGGTCTTCTATGAATTCCTTTTGGTTTTCTATGAACAATACCTCCTAGTATCTAATGAAGACCTTTTAAAAATGTCCTATATAGAATTTCAGGTCGTCTATAAGAAGGAATTATGGTCTTTCTTAAATGAGACCATCTGTCATTTTATGAAGTAGACCATTTGGTCTATGAATTGTTGTGAATATGGCAACATGGTCTATTCTTGTTTCTTCTTCTTTCTGTATATCATTCTGCATTCTTATTTTAAGTCTTTGAATAAAGCTCTTCTATATGACATCAAAAATAATTGGATCAACCTGCTTTCCTCCATTTTGTAATACTATAAGTAGACCTGTCTTCATCTATTAGAAGCTTTTCATGAAACAGATATTCTGTTCCACTATAAAGAAGACTTTCTAATCTCCTTTGAAAGAAAACTTTTTGTCTTCCATAAAAAATACCAAAGCTGGAAGACCCTCTGAAAAGGTTTTCTATTTCTAACCTCAAATGTTATAAAATAGAATTTTATCTAGGCTTCCATAAAAAAAATATGGTGTCCCAGTTGGAATTTGTTTAAAAATTTTGTAAATAACTTTCATAAATAACCTGAAAATATGTTTCGCATTGAAAACAGTTGGTTTAGAATGCCTCCTGTGAGGATTGAACTCACGACCCCTGGTTTACAAGACCAGTGCTCTGCCACTGAGCTAAAGAGGCTGGTGTCGTGTGGCGTGATAATGTGTATAACAAAACTCGGCACGTAACTGGTCATGGTTACGAACTGTTCGAATTTACCCTTATCTTTTTGATGTGGGTGGGCGATAGGTGTTATAATCAGTGCTACCAAAATTAAGGGTTAAATGACAATTACGTTTTCCAAGTTTAAATGTAATTAAAAAGTTAAGATTTGAAGGGCAACATTTGCAATTTTTACTTTAATTAAATTAAATTCATAAAGTGTATATGTATGTGTGTTTATATCATTGTTGATTTACATTGGTACACTATTTCCAATAGATCTCAAAATGATTTTCCTTTATTGAGCTGCACGATTTTCAGCCAATTTCATTTTAAAAATTGCCTTCAATTCTTCGGCACCAACTTCATTGGTATCCTTATAGTATGGCAGCTGAGAGATGCGTTTAAACCATGCTGCAAATTTGGGGAATTTCGATTCATCAATTGGTACCACCTCATTACACGACGAAATGGTAGCCACACAGCATAAATCAGCAATAGTCATGTTATCACCACAAACATAGGGATGATCTTGCAAGAAACCTTCCATAATTTCCCAACATTTTACAAGATTGGCAATTTTATCTTCAGAAACTTCGGTGCAGCCAAAGAATAAAATCGGTTCGAAGAGGAAACGTAGACGAGCAAACAAATGACCCGAATCGAAATGCAAGCGGGCATTTACTTGGGCACGTTTTAACAAATCTTTAGGATATAAGGTGTCATCGGCGGCGGAATATTTGTCAACCAAATAACAGCATATGGCATGAGAGTCATAGATAATATCCTCACCATCCACCAAGGTGGGAATGGTATGTTGGGGATTCATTTTTAGAAATTCGGGTGTCAGATGTTCACCGGCCAGTAAATTGACGACTCTGTAAAGGGGGTAATTTGGTTTGAATTTTGATTTCGTTTTTAAAAATATACTTACTTGTATTCCAGTTCCAAACCAATAGCCTTGGCAGTTAACATAACAGCCCGAGAGGGTGGGCTCAATGTGGCCATATATAGAATGGGGTTTGACATTTTGATGCTGGAAATGAAAAAGGTAAGGATTAAAATTGAATATTTTCTCAAGATTACTATAGGATTTTAAAAGAATATTTTCAAAGCTCTAACTTTTAAAGAACATTTTTTCAAAGCCTAACCACGGCGTATATTTTTTAAGGCTCCTAAAGGCGTGGATTTTTTTGAAGAATATTTTTTCATGGTCCATATAAGGAGTGGATTTTCTAAAGAATATTTCAAGGCTGATACAAGGCGCAAATTTTTTAAAGAATATTTTCCAAAGGTCTGAAGGTTGTAGATTTTTTAAAGAATATTTTCAAAAGTTCTGAAGGTTGTAAATTTTTAAAGAATAGTTTCAAAAGTTCTGAAGGTTGCAGATTTTTTAAAGAATATTTTCAAAAGTTCTGAAGGTTGTAGATTTTTTGAAGATTGTTTTTAAAGCTCCGCATGGCGTTTTTCGTTAATGAAGATCTCTACTTTTTATTACGGATTCTTGTATAAATTTTGCCTTCTTACCTTTAGCTAATATTCAAAACACTGAAAGTTGTTACTGTTCCCTCCAAGCGATGATTTAGAATAGATTTTAATGTTTCTCATTCTTTTTTTTTGCATACTCATGTTGGCATCTTCAAAATTGATAATGGAAATCTTCCATCTAAACACACACATACACACACTTTTTACACGCTATATTCCAGTCCATACAACAGATTATTAGGCAAAAATTTCATTTTCAGAATCTATACCCCCAAAACATTTATTTGCTCTCTAGTTTATTTGGGAATCTTATTCTCATTTTTTTCGATAAGATCGAGTAATTCTTTTTTAGAATCGTATGTTGAATGGTGGCTGTGCCTCTAAAAATGTTCTTACTCTCTGATTAACCAGAATTTGTATACTCATTTTTTCGATAAGATTTCTAATTTCTGAGGAGAGATTATTTAATGATCTTAAGAGATCATTTGAGTACAGATTCTTCATTAGTTTAGTATTAGAAACGGGAAGATTCAAATGAAAGAACATTTCATATATAACCTTTTGCCGTATTTAAAAATTTTTTATGGACAAATCTAAAATAATTTCTAAAAAATTAGAGATTCTTGCATGTTTTGAAACAGAGGATTTATTACAAATTATGGTCTGTTCCGAAAAATGCTAAAATTTATAGTTAAACAAAATTTATTTCGATTTCTACCTTTTGTACAAGAATTTACACCTTCTTTATAGGGTACTTCCTTACCTGTTTCTGGCTTCAATTTAATTTAATGGAATATTTTCTGTCCACCACTTTAGATATTAAAAGTTTGCCAGGTTCCAATGCTTGTCACCAATTGTACAATACTATTGGTCATAACAAAAGTGTGGTACCTGCATTTATAGTTTTTTTTTTTTTTTTGTTCAGAAAAAATAAACAAATGCAACAAAATCCATGAATTGTTAATAGCGTTTCGTAGACATTTATTTGTATTTTGTGATAAGTAAGACATTAGGTTTATTGATTATTGTATTTTGAGAAACTAGCCTGCCTTTGACATTGTGAAACTTTGTAATGCCCAACGTGGGAACCCATTGGTATATTGTATGAATATGAAAACTATTTAATTACCCAGTAGTTCGAGTAACTGGTGATGAACTAGATATTTTACTAATTACCTGTAAGTACCACTAGTTACCACTTCATGCCCTAGACTGGTGAATTTAACATGGGTATGTCATTGGGGAAGTCAATTGTCCCATGCCTGCGTTACCAGTATACAGTCATTTCGATAGTCGATTCATTACCCTTTGCATTACCAGTAACTACTGAATTGGTATGATGTGCGTAGACAACTTTTTCAATTGACAAAAAAATCCAACAGTCTATTTTGTGTTCCTTTTTGGGGTATGAAGTAACTAGATCACTAAGTAACTAGCTATATAACTATATAATAGCAGACAATTGATATTTTTTGTACAACTGGGTATTGACCCGTTCAGTTTTGTGTAAGAAGACTTTAAAGGTTAAAATATTTACAGGACATTTGTAAATGAAAAACATTTGGGAATCTAAAAAATAAATCATATCGTAACTTAAATTAAATAATGATCCTTGAAGGATATATTTGGAGGTTCTTATTAAGGACGACTTCATACTTAAGGATTGAGAACACTAAATGTTGCTTCCTTTATATAAGAATATATCCTTTTGATTTTCTATTAAACCAAAGTGTTTATGAAATTCTTTAAATGAAGAAAATCTCCAGATATATTATATATATCTTCTAAGATCTTTTTCAATATAGAAAGTTCTTCTGATGGATTTCCGTACTGTTTTTTTTTTTTACTAAAATATATCACCTAGTAATGTATTATAGAGGAGGAAGCCGTTGTGGTACTCAATTTTGTATAGGAGGCCTGAGAAATTTATTTGGTCTTTTACAAGAACAATATTTATCTTATGGCCACATCTTTTGATATTCTATTAATAAAGACCAATTAGTCTCCTATAGAAGTCCTTCAGTTTATAACCTTTTAGTCGTCCGGACTTTTCTTTCTCGCCTGGGTTTTTATACAGGTAAACCTTCTGGTTTTCTGTCTTGAAGAACGCTTATCAGTTACCTTCTTTTCCCTCCTCCAACTAGCCCCATATGTAAACACGGTCTATAAATAACTATAAATCCTTTTGGATAGTTGATGTAAAGAACGATCTCAGCTTCAATAAGATGATCATATTATATATAGGAACATAGAGCTTTGATAGGTTACGAAATATTCTGCGAAGAATTTCGAAAGTTTAAAAATCTCAACTTTTTTATAAGTTTTTGAGGCGTGGGCGTATTAAAATTTATTATTGAGTTCTGCTTGGGAGCCTTCGAAAGGTGAATTGTTGTATTGATCATCTTGTTTTTGATATAGAAAGGCCTTGTGATTAGCTGCTAAAAAACCTATGGGTTTCCAGTTCTGTTTTTGCTTTTAGTTAAAAGAAGCCTTTTGAGGTTATGCTAAAAGCAAGGACTTTCCAATAATATATTCAAGGAGAAGACATATTTGTAGTATTAAATTCTTTATTTATACAGAAATTATATATTTACCTTATGGCCACATCTTTAGGTACTTCAGAAATAAGAATCCACTAGTTTAGTTTGTAATAAAATAGGTTATTAGGTTATGAAGACAACCTGCTGGTCTTCTAAAAATGATATTCATAAGTTCCATAAATGAGGATCTATTAATAAGGTCAACCAGCAAGGCCTATAAATAAGGTCACACACGGAGACCAGCTGAATACCGATGACTCTCAAGTTTGCGGTCAAAACCTATCATTCTGAATTGACTTTCATTATGAAAACGAAAACAAAGTTCAAATTTTTGACAGAATTGAGAAAAAAACAGCTGACTTTCGCTAGCTGGGTGACCTTATTAATATATCTTGTGTGTAACCTTATTAATAGATCTTGGTCAACCAGCTAGCGAAATTCGGCAGTTTTTTCTCAAGTCTAATGTCAAAAATTTGGCTTTTTTCGTTGGAAGTCAATTCAAAATAATGGATTTTGAAAGCAATCTTACGTGGCAGCTGATATCCTCCTGGTCTCCATGGACGACCTTATTTATAGGACATGGCCCGAAGCGAGGACCTTCTTTTCAGTTATTTAAATTAATTGTATTCCATTTTTGTTTGTTTTAGAGAACTCCTGAGATTCCAATAAAAATATAATTTTATATACATTTTTAAATAAGAAGAAGCATGTTGTCAATTCAATTGAAAATATCATGGAAGAAGAAGAATAACAAAACCGCTCAAAAATTGTTTATAAATAATAAATTTCAGCAAATTTCTTCTGGTGTTTATAAAAATAAACTTTAGGATGTTTTATTAAAAATTCAGCTATTTATGAAACAGATTCTGGACTTTCATCGAAGATGGTAATATGCATATTTATTTAATTTTATAAAATAATTACATTTGGTATTATAGGAATATTGACCATTTACACCTTTTGGTCGGCTGTTTCCTATATAAGAAGATGGTAATGTAATAAATCAGGGCCTAGATTTTCTTCTATATCGATCATGTAAGTTGCAATTAAATAATAACTCCTTTATTATGTTTTTGGATTTTCTGTCGATTTGTTATTGTAGTAGATTTTAATTTTCCAACTGAATATGTTGACATTCTACCAGTTTAAGATGGAACACTTTCTGAGTTTCAATAACATATTATTCTATTTCAAATTAGATGATCTTTTAATAAATAAAGGACTAGAGGCCTCTAGGTTGTAATTAAAGAATAGAACTTTCATGGTTTTCCATAATGTTTGAGGATCTTCTGTCCATTTCTTATTATAGTAGATCTTTGTTTTCCTCTACCATTCTACGGAATAGGGCGTCCATCAGATCTTTTAAGAGGGGAAACTTTCTGAATTTTAATAAAGAATTAATTTTTTTCCTGGAGAGGACATCTAATTGCCTATGAAAAGTAAGAATAACTGGTCTTTTTTAGTTGAAGATCTTATAAGATTATATCAATGAAGAATGCTAGAATGCTGGTCATATAAAATTATATTTTTCTTGTTAAAAACATGTTTTTGGGCCTTAACCCGAATGTGTTTTTTTATTTTATTGAATAACTCCAAATACTTTCTTAATCATTTGCAATGTTTATTTAATAATAAAAATAAAACAAAACAAACAAAAAACACTTTAGAATTACATTCATAAAGTATGTAGGTATGTGTGTGTGTATATATCCGTGCATTAATGTTAATAAAAAATATATATATTGATTCCACAATAATTGTACTTTTATTTTGCACCTCGATTTTCAGCTAATTTCTCTTTGAAAATTCTCTTCAATTCTTCAGCACCCTCTTCATTGGTATCCTTATAGTAGGGTAATTCCGACAAACGTTTCAACCATGCCAAAAATTTCGGAAATTTAAATTCATCAATTGGTGCCACATCATTAACCGATGTAATTGTGGCAACACAACAGAAATCGGCAATTGTCAAGTGGTCACCACAAACATAGGGATGGTCTGCCAGAAAACCTTCCATAATTTCCCAACATTTTTGTATATAAGCAATTTTATCAATGGAACAATCTGTAGAACCGTAATATAATATCGGTTCGTAAAGGAAACGTAGACGTGCGAATAAATGTCCCGAATCGAAATGGAGTCGAGCATCAACTTGGGCACGTTTGAGCAAATCTTTGGGATATAGCTGATCATCTTTGGCATATTTTTCAACCAAATAACAACAGATGGCATGGGAGTCATAAATAATGGCATCACCATCCACGAGGGTGGGTATGGTATGTTGCGGATTCATTTTAATGAACTCGGGTGTCAAGTGTTCTCCCTTGAGTAAATTTATGGGTCTGTAATGGAGAGGTAAGTTGTATTATTTTGATTTATTTTAGAGAATTATTTAATTTTCTATACGTACTTGTATTCCAGTTCCAAACCAATAGCCTTGGCAGTCAGCATAACAGCCCGAGAGGGAGGGCTCAATGTGGCCATATATAGAATGGGTTTTGACATTTTGGTGCTGAAATAAAAAAGGTAAAGATTTTGAAATTACAATATTTACTGGTAATTTTTTTAAAAATTTTAAAGAATATTTTTTCAAGGTCCCACAAGGGTGGCGTGGTTTTTTAAGCAATTTTTTTCAAGGCTCCTATAAGCGTGAAGAATATTTATTGAGGAGCTACCACAAGGCGTGGATTTTTTAAAGAATATTTTTTGAGGAGCTACCACAAGGCGTGGATTTTTTAAAGAATATTTTTTGAGGAGCTACCACAAGGCGTGGATTTTTTAAAGAATATTTTTTGAGGAGACTTTACAATTCTCGGATTTTTTTAAAGAATATTTTTTGAGGAGACTTTACAATTCTCGGATTTTTTTAAAGAATATTTTTTGAGGAGACTTTACAATTCTCGGATTTTTTTAAAGAATATTTTTTGAGGAGCTATCACAAGGCGTGGATTTTTTAAAGAATATTTTTTTGAGGAGACTTCACAATTCTCGGATTTTTTTAAATATTATTTCAATACTTTGAAAAGGTTCTATAAGATTTTTATATTTATTCAACAAGTACCTTACCTTCTCCCCTTTGCAAATAATATTCAATTGTCCAGAATAGGGTTTCTATTACGACTGTATGAGGTGAGATAATAATAAAATATAATTTCAAAAATACTTTTTCTTATCACTTTCTCTATTAAGAAATTAATGTAAATTATCTTTTGTTTGTGCCGGTTTGCAATAATTGCCCCTGCTTTGTGTTCGGCAAACGACTGACATTCTGAACGGAAAAATTTGTTTGCATGTGTGTATGCGATTTTTTAATTTCTTCATAAAATGCAAACAATAGCAAATGCAAAAAAAAAAACGAAAATAAAAATAACTCAATGAATTTTTAATAGCTATTTAGAATTTCATTTCATTTGCATTTCGAAAATTTACTTTCACACAGACATTACCTATTGAAAAGTAAAGCAGTTGGTTTTGATTCTGTCTTGACACACGAGTTCCTCCCCTCTTCCAATTTTGAAAACTTGTTAACATCCCTACGTGAGATTTGCAAGAATTATTGTTTTTCATGTAAATTAAAATATTTATATTGTCATCAAAATTTAAAGGGGTACCATAGAGGTCTCTGGTCGATAATAGTAAACCTGGAACTAGTATAAATACGATTTGGAGTTGTTTCAGCTTCGAAGTAATCAAAAATCTTGGCTGGATACTACAATCTCTTAATTGAATTCTTACTTTCTAACACCTTTTTTAGAAAATATCTAACCCCTTGATTGATCGTAATATTCGGGTTTCCTGGTAAAATGGAAATCTAAACAAATGTAGGGTGTAGATAATGACCAGTTTGTTGTTGCTTTGTTGTTGTTCGATATTCACTCATCAAGATTGTGTCAGTCATTTGTTGTCATTAGCTATAAGTTGTTGCTTTCATTATTGTTGTTGTTTTATAACAGTATACGGCACTATAATTTATTTATGGTGGTAGCGACGCGTATACTGTGAGTGTATCGGTGTTGGGTACACTTAGGCCTCTTTTTATATGTAGACATATAAAACGAGGAATTTTTAAGAATAGTATTTTATAAGGTCCATATGAGGCTTGGATTTTTTAGAGAACATTTTTTCAAGATCCATAAAACCAATGTGTGGATTTTTTTAAAGAATATTTTTTCAAGATCTAATCAAGGTCGATATTTTTATAAAGAACATTTTTTAAAAGTCCATATAAGGCGTGGATTTTTAAAAGAATATTTTTTCAATGACCATATAAGGCGTGGATTTTTTAAAGAATATTTTTTCAATGACCACATAAGGCGTGGATTTCTTAAAGAATATTTTTTGAGGAGCCTTCACAAGGCGTAGTTTTCTTAAAGAATATTTTTTGAGGAGCCTTCACAAGGCGTAGTTTTTTTAAAGAATATTTTTTGAGGAGCCTTCACAAGGCGTAGTTTTCTTAAAGAATATTTTTTGAGGAGCCTTCACAAGGCGTAGTTTTCTTAAAGAATATTTTTGAGGAGCCTTCACAAGGCGTAGTTTTCTTAAAGAATATTTTTTGAGGAGCCTTCACAAGGCGTAGTTTTCTTAAAGAAAATTTTTTGAGGAGCCTTCACAAGGCGTAGTTTTCTTAAAGAATATTTTTGAGGAGCCTTCACAAGGCGTAGTTTTCTTAAAGAATATTTTTTGAGGAGCCTTCACAAGGCGTAAATTTAACTGGCACAATATCAGCAGTTAAAGTCGGAAAGGACCTCTCGGAGTCTTCAATACCGAACGAGGATTCAGACAAGGTGACAGTTTGTCGTGTGATCTTTTTAACATTCTGCTGGAAAAGGTCATACGAGAGGCAAAGGTGAACAGAAATGGCACTCTGTACACCAAATAATACATGTTACTCGCCGATGACATTGATATAATGGGTCAAACATTGCGAGCGGTAACAGACACTTTTGAACAAATTGAGAAAGAGTCTGCCAAAGTGGTTCTGGCAGTAAACGGCGAGAAGACCAAGCTGATGGTATCAACGCGCAAGACGTCCAGTAGACTCGCAACAAGTGTGGAACATGAGAACGATAGCTTCGAGGTAGTTAAAGATTTTATATACCTTGGTACCGCCATAAACAAAACGAATAACATGAGTTTTAAAATTCGGAGAAGGACAGTGATGGCCAAACAACTCAAAAGCAAGACCACCTCCGGTCAGACCAAACTCACACTCTACAAAACGCTGATACTACCCGTGCTGTTATATGGCTCTGAAGCATGGGTACGTGCGCAAGCAGATGAGGCAGCTCTCGGAGTGTTTGAGAGAAAAAATTCTCCGAAAGATCTATGGGCCGATCTGTGTTGAATATCGCTATCAAATGAACCATGAGTTGTACCAGCTATTCTCGGACATCGACATTGTTTGACGTATTGAGCTGCAGCGACTACGTTGGCTAGGTCATGTTGTTGTTGTAGCAGCCCCATTGCTTTTACACAATGGGCTGAGGTGACAGACGTTGGCCGAGAAATACTCGAGTCCTTTCGGATCGTAGACCCCTTTGTCATGGAAATGATAGATGGGTCCTGTTGTCGTCATGTTGTGAGAATGAATGAAGATGCCCCAGCATATAAAAGCGAACCAGCTGATGATTCACGCAGAAGGGGAAGGCCACGAATAAGATGGAAAGATCAAGTGGAAGATAACATTGCCGAATATGATCTTTCAAACTGAAAAAACTGAGCAAAAGATCGACGCGCCTGGAAAACGTTTTTATGCTCGGCTTACGGAACGAAAGTTCTGTCACTTAGCTGGCTTGTGACAGAACTTTCGTTCGTAAGTTAATAAAGATTTGTCTTCTATGGGTTGAAGTGGTCTTCTATGCATAGAAAAGTGGTTCTGTAGATAGAAGAGACCTTCAGTGAATAGAAGAAGTGTTTTAGGAAATGGAAACCTTCTTCTGGGTGGGTAGAAGAGGCCTTCTGTGGATAGAGGAGGTTTTTTGTACATAAAAGTGGTCTTCTATGGATAGAAGATGTTTTCTATGGATAGAAGAGGTCTTTTAGAGCTAGAAAGGGCTTCTATGGATAGAAGAGGTCTTCTGTAGATAGAAGGGACTTTCTGGGGATAGAATATATATTCTAGGGGTATAATACATCTGCTATGGATGTAAAGGTCTTATATGGATAGAAGAGGTCCTCTAGGGATACAAAAATTAAAGAGGTCTTTTATGGATAGGAAGGTCATCCTTTGATAGAAGCGGTCTTCTAGGGGTAGAAGAGATTCATAGGGGTTGAAGGCATCTTCTATGGATGGAAGGGGCTTTCAAGGGATAGAAGAGATGTTCCATGGAAAGAAGAGGTCTTTTAGGGCTAGAAAAGGCTTGTATGGATAGAAGAGGTCTTCTGTGGATGGAAAGGTCGTCTATAGATAGAAGGGACCTTCTGGGGATAGAATATATATTCTATTTATGGATGAAAAGGTCTTATATGGATAGAAGAGGTCTTCTAGGGATACACAAATTAAAGAGGTCTTTTATGGATAGGGAGGTCATCCTTTGATAGAAGCGGTCTTCTAGGGGTACAGGTTTCTAGGGGTAGAAGGCATCTTCTATGGATGGAAGAGGCTTTCAAGGGATAGAAGAAATCGTCCAGCTGTTGTTCAACAAGTCCTAGGTGTATTCGGTGATTAGAATCAATGCGAAAAAAGTAACAGCTACCAATACACACATAGTAATCAAGTAAAGTCCTCTATACCCTTCAATTCCCTGTGCAAATTCAATTTCGTTTGTCGTTATTTCGTTTGAATGTTTTTCTTCGCATTTGTTATTGTTTACACTTGTTGTCGCTCCACGGCCCCTCACTTTGCAAAAAAGTGTTATTATTTATTCATCATCATCATCGTCGCCAGCGTTCACTTTTATCGCCCGAATGTAGATAGAATCCACAGACAGACACAAATTACCGCACACTAGCACACTGCAAATATTTGCATTTATTGCTGTTCTTGTTGGTTGTATGTTTTTGTCGGCGTGTCTGTCTGCCCTGCATCTATTATCAAATTAAAAAACGTTTCGTCGTTACTTACTTTTTGTTTTAGTTCGGGATTTTTTTGTTTGTTTGTTTTGCTTTCGTTTATTTTTTTCTTCTTTTATCTTTTGAGTGCGATCGGATGATTGCGGTTTCTTGGATTTGCGCGTATTTAGACCTGCCGTTACGAGCTTCAAATGAGAACTGATTTTTTTGGTTTTCTGTTCATTGAAAACATTTTGAAAACAGAGCACCATAGAAACCGAAGTGAGCAGATAGATATGTGGAGACGGTCATCGTTGCCAGATTGTGAATTTAAAAGTTTAATACGATTTCGGATAAATGTTTTTTTTTTTATTTTAATTAATAATAATATATTATTAATTAATAATAAATATCGATGATTTTGAGTAAATCGAAAATTCATGCTGAAAACCCTACTTTTTTGTGAATATGCCTTGAAGATCTGGTTCCATAGATACATACAATATGAAGATTATCGGATCACTGAAT